GATTACTAAACCTACTGTTGTTATAGGCTCTTACATTTGCTATTCAGTTTTCTAATAATTATGTAAAAGTGATCTTAAAGCTTTTTTTGGCACAGAGCATTTTACTTACTTTTAGGGAAATGATGGAAAATGGGTGAGTAGGTGGATAGTGAACTGAAATGCAGGGCTTAACAACTTTTTGAAAAAGCACAATTACTGTATGGCTTAAATTTAACCACATGCACAAATACTTATAACATGTACAGGATGAAAGTCCTATGGGTACAAGGACAAATGATGGGGGAGTGTGTACTAACATGTACAGGCTGGGGCCAAAGTAGGTGTACAGTTGTGAGTATGTAAAATGGTTTATTCTTGTATTATTTATTAATTACTATATCATTTCCATACAAACATCTGTAAACCTGCTTTGGCCTCACCCTGCATTATAATAATCAACAGACACATATCTTCTTAGAGCATGTTACCTAGCATTTTGGTTCACTTATTTTTTCTGAAAGCAAAATAACTAAAACAAGAGGCAAAGTGCCCATGTTGGGAATGAGGATTTCAAGGCCACTGGGCAGCTGGAATGGTCTTCCCCCTTCCCCCAACCCCTTTAAAAATTGTCCTCAAAGCTTATATAATAAAAACAGTTGTTACAATTCTTTTTTCTTCCACAGCATGACTATAGCCATATATAATAACATCAAGTACAGGTGAGTTTTAAAACCTATATTGTTATTCTAGCTAACATATCAAGTTGAGTGTTAGATAATAACAGTAGATATTTTTGGAACAAGCTGTAGAATGATTTTTATTATATTACTAGAGGCCTGATGCACAAAATTCCTGCACGGGTAGGGTCCCTAGGCCTGACCGGCAGTCAGGGCCAATCCGTAGGGCAACCAGCTGGGCCAGTCACCTCTCACCCTGCCACCAGTCACCTCCCTCTGTGGGGCAACCGTCGGGGTGATCCCCCCACTGGCACCCGCCTTGACTGTCCTGGGGCCTCTGGGGGGGGAAGCTCCTGCATTGAGTGTCTGCCCCTTGATTGTCAGTGCGCATCATAGCAACCAGTCGTTCCATCATTCGGTTGATTTGCATATTAGGCTTTTATTATGTAGGATTGAAGTGAATTATTTGTTTGTCTTAAGACCCATAATACTTGAGTTATTGAGGATCCCAAAGAGTATTTGCTTATGTGGGTTATATTTACTGTATTAGAAATTAAAATAGAGATTTAAAATATAAGTCTATTTTTTAATTTTTTTCTTTATTGATTAAGGTATTACATATGTGACCTTATCCCCCCATTACCTCCCACCCTACCCCCCCACTCTTACCCTCACCCCCCTAGTGTCTGTGTCCAGTGATTATGCTTATATGCATGAATACAAGTCCTTTGGTTGATCTCTCCTATATGTTTAAACAGTTTTTATAGCATTACTGAAATTCTGAGCTAGATAATCCTTTGTTGTGGTGGATGGTCTTGCCCACTATAGGATATAATACACAAGACAATATGAAAAATAATTATTTTCCACACCAAAATTAGAGTGGACAGTGTGTCATTAATTTACATTTTGCAAATCTCTTTAATGTGTAGCTTAATAGAAGATAACTGATTCTTAAGTATATTCTGTCATCAATCATTTGCAATTACTTCAATCATTTTAAATCCTTTGCTTTGAAGAAGTGTTAGGAAGAACACCCAGCCTCATGTAGCTAGATGGCTAGAAAAGGTACATTTCCAAAGCCTCAGATAATTGTAGATATTCATTTATATTGAACCCAAATTCCACAAGTGCTGGTTTCTTTAGTTACAATGGAAATACAAATAATATCCAGGAACTTGTAATCAGTTCCCTGTTAAGTTAATACCAATTGATCTATCTTATACATTGAATGGATCTTTCACTTGTATGTTATTATATGATAATATTATGCATTGGTCATTTGGAGATATTGGTCCAAAATGGAGATAAACTCCATTTTGGGAGTATCACCATCAATCTTAACAGAAAAATCTTTTAAGCATTGAAAAGCTGCCAAGCATACAAAGCAAAGCACACATTTTTGTCCTGGTTGAATAGCTCAGTTGGTTAGAGCTTTGTCTGAATATGTCAAAATTATGGTTTTGATCCATGGTCTAGGGCACATACAAGAAATAACCAATGAATGTATAAAACTAGCTAGAACAATAAATCGATGTCTCTCTCTCTCTCTCCCCTCCATACCTCTTTATCTCTCTACTTAAAACATAAAGAGAAAGAAAGAACATAAAGGACAGTGCACGTTTTACAAAATTCTGATTTTTTAGGTTATATAGTTTGAATTGTGTCATTGAAAATAAATACACAATTTATTTTCCTTGAAGTGACAGGCTCACTGTTTATTTTTGAGAGAACGGCAGTTCTAATATCAAATAAAGATGTACTTCTAAGGAAAAAGTGGCTTGTTCTGCTCCCAACTAACACACAAGCTCTTTTCCTTAACACAACCACATTTCAGTTTGCAGAAGAGCTTAATGCACACTCTACCCCTATTGAGAATGTGAAAACAGGATCAAAGTTTCATAATACTATTCCTTTTTATCAAGGATGTCCTTAAGTGAAGCAGAATTAGTTTTTCAACTGCAAGTGGCAGTGGTCAATACACTGACTGCTAGCACAGTGTGGTACCACTGCCTTCGTTCATGCTCACAAACCAGTTTTGCTCATCTTTGATTTTATACAACATTTCAAAAGTCTGTGTAGACCCAGGCAATGCCTCAATATTCCTATTACATTAGTGTTGACTCCTGAAAAATAGTCTATGGCAGTGGTTCTCAACCTTCCTAATGCTGCGACCCTTTAATACAGTTCCTCATGTTGTGGTGACCCCCAACCATAAAATTATTTTCATTGCTACTTCATAACTGCAATTTTGCCACTGTTATGAATTGTAATGTAAATATCTGATATGCAGGATGTATTTTCATTGTTAAAAATTGAACATAATTAAAGCATAGTGATTAATCACAAAAACAATATGTAATTATATATGTGTTTTCCGATGGTCTTAGGCAACCCCTGTGAAAGGGTCGTTTGACCCCCAAAGGGGTCACGACCCACAGGTTGAGAACCACTGGTCTCAGGAAACCTAACTCCGGTGACCTGCAGAGCTCACTTGTTCCAATGAGCAGAGTGTTTTAGTGCAGAGAATCAACTGAAGGACTTGTATGCATGCATATAAGCATAACCAATGGACATAAGACACTGCGGGGTAGGGGAGGCCGGGGGATTGTCAAGGGCGGGGGGGAAAAAGGGGACATATGTAATACTCTTTGTAATACTTTAAGCAATAAAATAAATAAATAAATAAATAAATAAATAAATAAATAAAAATAAAATGGGAGAATAATATCTAAAAAAAAAAGACTGGTCACTTTTAAAATCGAAAGGCACCTTTTTAATTCAAACTTTTAACAGATACAAGAACAAATTCACAATAATAATATAATACAGGAAAATAATAAGTGGAAAAAATAAACATGAATGTCATATCCACATGAATTAAAATTCTAAAACACATTGTAGCCCAGCACTACTGCTTTATAAAGTGTTCTTGTGTGTTCCAGTGTGAGCTGGAGGGATGGAAATACATTTGATTTACCAGCATTGCCTGTCAGGGAGGGTCAGTGGTTTTGAAGGCAACGCTAGCTGGTCATTGCAGAAAATATTGCACAGAATTTGATGTCCTGAGTAAAAAGAAGTCAGGAAACCCTCTTAGAGTCAGTTTGTAAAACTGCTTTGTTGAAAGTTAAGCTTCGCCTGAACCCCCTCTCACTCCTAGATGATGTGTTACTGAGATACTAACATTTCCTGAGTAAGGTTTTCAAATGCATATTCTTGTTTCATAGAGTTGGAAATAAATCGTGCAATATTTTTGATGAGAGAAAGCACCCCTTCAGAGTAAGTGTCAGTTTTATTGAGGTTCTATTTGTCTCTCATACTGTGGTGTTTATTTCATACTGATCTGCTTTGAAATGAATTATTAGAAGAAAATGACTCCCTCCAGCTTGAAGTCAAAACATCTTCTTTTCAGTCTTCTTCCCACGCATGTTGTCTCTAATGATTTTACAAAGGGAGTCCTGTGTGAGGGCCACGTCAGTAAGAACTGAGCCACAGCTTTGTATAGTCAGGGAGCTAAAGTGAGTAATTGTGCCCCAAATGAGTAAGTGTATCGTTCTTAAAGAAAAATTTCAGGAGCACCAAACAATATAAACGTCTGTAAATAGACCTATAGGTATGTTAAGACTCTTTGAAAAAACTGAGACAACTATTTAAATTTTAAACCAATTAAAATGACAGGAATTTCCTACTTCCCTCCTCTGAAGCTCTGCAGCGACAGGTAGCTGGTGCCTCCTGTGGAGCACGGCACAGCCAGAGTCTCGGGGTCACAGGAACATGAACATGTGTTTTCAGAGCTGGTTGCAGAGAAGAGTGACATGGGGGTCAACATGCCTGTGAGCCTACACATGGTTTACATTTCGGTAGACTTCTGTAGAGGGGGGAATGGGAGACATACATAACTGTATGCAGGTTGTGCCTGTATCAGTAACTGTAACTGGTGAGTATAGAATCAGTGTTGTTTAAGATCATTGTTTATACTTCAAAGACTAAAAGAGCCCTAGCTGGTTTTGCTCAATGGATAGAGCATCGGCCTGTGGACTAAAGAGTCCTGGGTTCAATTCTGGTCAAAACACATGCCTGGGTTGAGGGCCTCATCCCCCAGTAGGGGGTGTGCAGGAGGCAGCTGATCAATGATTCTCTCTCATTATTGATGTTTCTACCTCTCTCCCCTTTTCCCTTCCTCTCTGAAATGAAAAAAAAGTGTCATTATTTTTTAAAAAGGCTAAAAGACATGTCACCTAATCAAAATTATTTTAGGGATAGGTGGGCACAAGTAGAAGGCTGCTAGCATGAAAGTTCTTATGTATTTTCCTTCAGTTCATATTGCCTTTTTTCTCTTTTCAGCACGAAATAATTACAACGGACCACTTTCTGCGTGACCCTGAACTGAAGATTGTCTACAGATTTGTCTGTACTCTTTTCAGAGCTGAACACCTCACCGCTGAATGTGCGATTGTGACCTTGGTAAGACAGCTTTTCCAGAGGCTGCTTCTCTTTCCTGTGCACAGGCAATGGTCTGCTTTGCAAATCAAAGTAGGTTCCTGACATGATCCTCAGAACTTTATTAAGAGAAGCTATGAAGGGGAGTAAGCCACACACAGTGGAGCTAAATAATCATTGCAATTGAAAGTGTTACCATTGCTGTTTCCATCACAAACAATTGCTATTAAAGATATGAGGGGAGATTTCTGTTTCTTCCCCCAACCCACCCAACCCCACCCCCTGACCCACAGGAGACATAGGCGCATGCAGTACACACACACACACACACACACACACACACACACACACGGTGTGCTGGTCGGGGTGGATAGAGGCAGTAACAAACCATCCGGCCTTGGGACAAACTGAATCAGTGGGGAGAGCTAAGTAACACAGGAGGTAGAGCAGCATCGGGGTTGGACGAGGGGCAGTTTTTTGTGGACACATTAAGCTTTGCTCCTGGGAGCCAGTGGAGAAGCAATGTCTCTTAATTGTTTAAATAAATTGAATTAGAGCAAGAATCTGAGCTAGAGGGAGGGAAGTTAGAGTAGCTGTTCACATGCAGAAAAAGCATGGGAATGAAAGGTGGCAGGAGATAGAGTAACGGCAAAGAGCAGGGATTCCATGGATACTGAGGGCTGAGCAAGCTCTTGGCAGCATTTGGCAGCTGGCCCACACTCTCTTGAACCTCCCTTGTCTGGGCTTCTCTTTGGTGGTTCTCTCCTGGTTTTCCCATCACTCTAGCCACTTCCGGGGACCTGCTCCTTCAGTGCTCATAGTCCTTCCAGGTCTGTGCTGAGGTTAGAAGAGAGAGCAGGTAGAACAAAATTCATGAAGACAAGAGCTTATATTCTAGTGAGGAAGACATACGTAGTGTGGCCCAGAGTGTGGGATGAGGAAAGAAGATGAGGTCACAGACGGGCAGTATCCTGTCTCATAGCCCTGGAGGCTTGCAGGCAATGAGAAGAAGTTACATTAGATTTGACTGATGGGAAACCTTCGGCAGACATTGAGTTAGGGGTGAAGTGCTCTTAAGGAAAGAGGCTACTCTGGCTCCCTGGGGAGAAGAGACTGTTGTTGGAAGTCTGAGTGGAGGCAGTAAAGTCAGGAGTCAGTAAGAGTCATACAGGTGAGAGGTGCCCAATACACTGGAAAGCGCTCAGGTTCCCACGGAGAAGGGGAGGCAAGACTTGCTGGCAGATGGGAGCAGGCTGGCTCAAGTGGAGGTTTTGGTCCCAGCAACTAGGCAAGTGGCCATGCCCTCTATGCTATTAGGGATGGCTGGGGAGTGGGCAGTGAGGATGAAGAGCTCTGTTTGTATTGCGAAGGCTCCAATGCCCTTAGCAATAGCAGTTTCGGTGGAGGGACAGCGCCAGGGGCAGACTAAAGTGGGTGAAGGAGAGAATGGGAGGTGAGAAGCAGCATCAGGGCATTTACCCTGAGCCAGATAAGAGGACGCATTCTAGGGATTTGGTGTGGCCAGAGGGGACCTAGGTAAACACATTCCTGTTGGGGGAATCTGGGCAGACAGGGAGGATTCTTCAAGAAGAGGCGAGTATGGAACAGTGTTCTGCAGAAGTGGGCTGGGCCGACTTCACTGATAGAAGGTCAGCTTCGGCGAGAAGAGAATCCTAATTCCACTGACACGGGAGGGCAGGTGGGATGAACGAAGGAGTAATGGCCCATACTGAGTCTGCCAGTAAAGGGGACGGAAGTTGGGAGGTGGTCGGTGTTGAACAAGGGCCTCTAATGATGCCCATCAACTAGAGTTGAACCTTGCAGGTAGCTCCTTCTTAGGACAGCTGAGAATGCTGGGTTTTGAGGAATGGGCGCAGCATTTCCCTCAGAACACATCATGTTCCATAAGCATTTGTTTTTGAAAACACAGTTGAGTTTGGCAAATCTCTGCTGTCAAAAATCTTCAGGCAGTAACCATATTTCTTTAAATTGAACTTTTTTTCTTTTTGTCAAATGGCATATACACTCTTCTGAAAGGCCTGCTCTGAGTAACAAGAAATCTCAGCTTAGCTCTATAACCTACTGGGCTGTTACCTCGCCCAGTTCTTTGTAGAGGAGACATAGAGTGCGTGTCAAAGGCATCATGAGCCTCCCCAGCTGCCTGGCAGGGTTGGAGGAGCCCCAGGGACACAGAGCCTGGCAGCTCTGTCGCCCCTTGAGACCAGCAGCATTGAGTGCCCCTCAGATTATGTGAGACAGAGACGCAGTGCCCACCATGATCGTGGAGATGTGAGCATGAGGGGCATGAGGAGGACTGTCCTTGGTTTGCACGTGTTCCTCACAGAGACACTAAGACAGGAACACGGACAGGTGCACAGACCAGTCTGAAGCTCACCTGTTTGCACTGCCTGTCCTGCTGCCCCCACAGCAGCCACTGGGAGGCAACCTCGGGCACCAGTTTTTATCTCCAGCTTGTACCCCAAAAGGGCTAGTGACTGTGAAGAGATAGACATAATTCCGGCATCACTAGGAACTTACATATTTCAGTGTATGTGAGATCACATATAAATACGAGCCAGGCAGGAAGAATTGCACCTGGTGGGCACTCAAGTGTCTGTGGAACAACTTGAGTTGATACTGGGCCTCTCTATGCTCCCTTTACAAGAGGAAAGGTAATAATAGCCCCCTGCATTGCTTCAGGACGGCCTTTCCTAACATGTCTATTCATTCCTGTGACCAAAAATTGGGCTGAAAGTTCACATGGACAAAGTAGGCAACAGAAGTATCTGGTTTACAACTATGACTTGGCCTCTGGCTTTGGCTGGCCATGCAGTGTCTGTGGAAACTAAGTATAAAAGGTCTTGCCGAAGCCGGTTTGGCTCAGTGGATAGAGCGTCGGCCTGTGGACTGAAAGGTCCCGGGTTCGATTCCGGTCAAGGGCATGTACCTGGGTTGCGGGCACATCCCCGGTGGGAGATGTGCAGGAGGCAGCTGATCGATGTTTCTCTCTCATCGATGTTTCTAACTTTCTATCTCTCTCCCTTCCTCTCTGTAAAAAATCAATAAAATATATTTAAAAAAAAAAAAAGGTCTTTAACACTGGCCTATGTGGCTCAGGGGTTAGAGCATCAGCCCGCTCACTCACAGGTTCCATTCCTGGTCAAGGGCACTTACCTGGCTGGCAGGCTCTATTCCCTGTCCCAGACAGGCAAGGGCGGTGGCAACCAATCAATGTGTCTTTCTCATATCGATGTTTTCTCTCTCTCTCTCTCTCTCTCTCTCTCTCTCTCTCTCTCTCTCTCCGCCACCCACCACCTTCCTTTCACTCTCTCTAAAAATTAATGGGAAAAATTTCCTCAGGTGAAGATTTAAAAAAAAAATGAATTTGAAAAATGGATGCAATCTGTCGTTTCTAACAGTTGTTACTGTTAACAGTTACAAAGCACTTACACAATTTACTTCTTCAGATTTACCTGGAAAGGGTCATGCGTTATGCAACTATTGACTTGTGTCCCACTAATTGGAAAAGAATGCTTTTGGGAGCTGCTACTGTTGCCTATGAGTTGTGGGACAAACAGGCTCTGTGGGATGTGCCCTACTGCCAGCTCATCAACAACATCATTACAGTCGAGGACATGTGAGTTTGTAAGCTTTTGGTAAACTTCCTAACCGTTTTCTCATACCTCATTCCCCCATAAAGTTTACATGTTAAGAAATATTTTTAAAGGTTACATTGTGCAGAGAAATGAAATAGGCATAAAATTACATGCTTCTTTCTATCCACCTTTCATATAACATTCATATTCCTCGTCATTAATTAGTTGGTCTTGATATGTTTTTGTAAAGTGTGCATGGTAATTTGAAATGTGTTTTCCTGGTGTTTTTCACAAACGTTTTACAAGCTAACTACCAGAACAACAGTACAATAACTATCTTCATGGCTTTCTTAACGCCATCTCCCAGCTCCAGTCTATTTTTAGGGACAGACACTGGCTTTGAAATAAATGTTTGGCCACTGTTAGCATCTTAGGGCCTCTAGACTATTGAGGGTTATAGCTTAAATCTGACCCCCACATTGTACCCTGTGTCTGACCCACACATTTTACTGGTCTTTCCCTCTTTTTCATCTGAAGTTCTGTTGTTCAGAAAACCATGGAAGAAAATTGGCCCCATATAAAGGTTTCAGACCTCTGTGTGCTCTCCTGCCCTTTTAAGAGAATTGCACGTGTTTACAAATAGGTCTGAGGACTTTGAAAGCTCCTACCTCTCAGGCAGCAGAGAAGCCTCACTGGGCATTGCCCAGTGCCCACCCCATTGGAGAGTTTCCCGGGCACTAAGCAACCACAGCAGTGCCTTGTGGGGGCCATAGGTTAACCACGCGGGGGCCCCTCCGAGGTGGCATGGGCGTGAGAGTGAAACACCAGCCTTACGGAGGGCTTTCGATCTGGCCACACTGACTGCTGTGGAGGGCTCTGCGGGTGGTCGGCAGGATGAGCCGCAGAGGTATCTCCAGCAGACTCTCAGAGCACCCACCTGCTGACAGTGAACCTGTCTTTGTGGATGGCATTTAGGATCAGGTGAAAGCACACATCTCTACTAGGTTGAAGGCATAGGAAGGTCAAGATCCTCACGGGCAGAGGCAAGAGTTTGGTTTTGGAACCTTTGCTCATGACTGGATGAGTCTCATGCAGAATCACCTAAGTGCATGGTGAGGCTACTGGTGTCTAAGGGACGGGACGGAGATTCTCAGCAGCTGGCAAAGTGGCTTTTGGTAAAGGGCGTAGGTCTGGGGCCAGGATGGCTAGTTGTAAACAATGCTTTTTGTGAATGAACAGAGGAACCCCAGGAGCTCTGTGTGTAACAGGCTGCTTTTGTTTATGACCTTTGCCAGTTGGAAGACTTGACACCAGTGTTTAGTGCACATTGGTTTTGTCCCCCTGTTGTTGACTACCATTTGGAATGGTCACATTTTGCATCTAAATTGAAAATTCATGTCTATCAGCTTTTCTTAAAATTTCACAACATCTATGTGTGTTTTTAGATTATTATTTCCCTTCAGAAGCATAAATAAAACGGAGCAACTGATATTCAGAAAATTTGACTGTAAATGGTAGGCTGTTCAACTCACCATTAAAAAAATAAACAGAAGATGCATATTCTGTAGTCATGCTTTTCTTCCATGATTAAACGTCTATAATAGACATCTGTTAATCCTATGAAGGGACTGTATTTGTACACAATTAAAAGATAGTACTGGAGGAAATATAGAAGGGATAGTAAAGTTTATTTATTCCTGTAGGAAATAAGTCCTGATTAGCTGATTATCAAAACATGATCTGATTACATGTCTATATGAATAGGAAAATAATTTGGAAATAGGTTTTTTTGGGTTTAAAGTTTAACAAATAAGAAAATCTATCGGCTCCTATTCTGACCGCTCTCCATACAGGAGAATATCCACTTTCATCGACCTGTCCAGTGGGTAACATATTAAAGCTTTAACCTAAGAAAACAGGTTTGTTAGAATTCAAGCCTCTCTCATGATTGTTCTGGTGTTTGTCATTTTTATAGAACTAACTCTATCACAGTAGTGCTGTGCAAGTAGAACAATTTACTCTCATTATATATTTATTTATTCAGCAAATGACAGGAGTCTGTCACATAGCAAAGTACTGCTCCCAAATTTCCTTTTGCACTTTATTGAACTCACCCCTGTGGGCAGGCTCCCCTCTGCTCAGGCAGGGGCAGGGGTGCTGAGCAGGGCAGGACGCAGCCCCACGTGGGAGAACACGGTTGGAGTCTGGCTCCGTGCCCATCAGAGGTCCAGTCCTAAAGGCTGCTTAGTCCAGCCAGGTCATCTATGTTTCCTGTTTCTGCTTTTCATAGTTTAAAAAGTGCAGCCTGTCCTATCAGTAGGATTAAGGTGAACAGAAACTTCCCTTTTGTCCTCTGCTGTTAGTCCCATGCACTGGGTAGGGAAGGGATTTTTTTCCCCCATAAAATGTGGCTTGCTTATTTATTTATTTACTAGAGGCCCGAGGCACAAAATTTGTGCACTTGGGAGGGGGGTTCCTCAGCCCGCCACAGATCGGTGGCCTGGGCCTTCCTCTTTGGGGTGATCACGGAGCCCCGCAATTGATTGCCCCGCTGGCCTGGGACTCCCTCTGCCAGGCAATCATGGGGTGATAGTGGCCCCCCCCCGACCAATCACATGGGTTGATTTGCATATTATGCTTTTATTATAAAATATTTATTTATTTATTTTTGATGAATCCTTGTTGCCTCAAGAATGTTGCCCCCTCAGATAGTAGTGGTGGCTTCCCATGGATCCCTTCGCTGCGGTGGTGATGTGCTCACTTCATTTGTTGGTACTTCTCTACTTCCACAAGCCCCTGCCTGTGATGGGCCTGGTGAAAATGCCTGCAAGTTGGTTAGGGCCCAGGAGCAGCATACATCACTCCTTTCATCTGAACACTACAGCGGGCCCTGGTCAGTGAGCCAGGAGCACGAATCCACAGCCGCACTCAAGGGACTCTGAGCCCCCAAGTCAGCAGCAGGAGAGCAAAAGGGGGCGGTCACCCCTTCACACTCCTCCCAACTCCAAGTGCTGGGATGCAGGAGGGACCTCAAAGAGCTGCACCTGGTTTGATGGTTAGAGTCTTAGTACAGCTGGGTAACCTTTACGTGTTTCAAAACACAATTTAGAGTCATCCTTGTAGCGCAGAGTGACATTTTTGAAGGTAGCCCAGATGACTAAAATGTTCTGTGTCGATTTTGTCTCCTCCTCCTCCCATAGGAATGAGATAGAAATGCAGTTTTTAAATTACATCCAGTTTGATACTGATATTCCTGCCAGTCTCTTTGCCAAATATTACTTTGACCTTCGATATGTAAGCCATAGAAACAACCTGCTTGTTTTATTTTAACATCTTTGCAAAGAAAGAGCACAGAACCCAGAGGTAAGGCTGTGGAGTCACTAAGTGGGGTTTTCTGTCTGTTCCCTGAGCCAACATCTGTTGATAAATTCTATGAAGCGATGATTAGGACAATGGAAAGCTTTTTAAAATTAACACATTAAAGAAGAGCTTCTGAACCCTTTTTGCATCATATTGCTGGTGCTTTATGGTTTATACAGGATCCCTCATTATCAAAAAACTCTACATCTCTTTTTTGTGACCCTAATTCAGAATATTTTAAATCTCAATCTGTTAATGGTTTTCCATGTAGCCCTCTATCCTTTCTTATAACCATGTATTTCTTATAATTGTATAACTAATCATATCTACAAACATAATCCACTTCCCACTCGTAAATTAGTTTGCAAATATTTATCACATTTTGGTCCCATGAGTTTATTAGACAGAATATTAGTGACTAACCTGAGGGACCTATATTTAGAATGTATAGTGTGTCTTGCAAATACTGACTGTAGAGAGTACATGGTGTTTTAATGGAAATGGCAAAGATCATGGGATAAAGTAATATTTGTGGCTTATGAATTCTGGTGAGAATACAACAAAATTATTCACAACTGAAATGGACACTTTTAACACGGATACTGTCTGTGGTACTTTGGTGGCACTTTAGAATAAGACGTATTTCTACCATAATTAACGTGCAAGTGAAATAGGTCCTTATGATGCTTCAGTCATTAGACCTTCCCTACCTTCCAGTGAAGTTCAGCACATGCCCATTCATTACAGTTTGCTTGGAGTAGATAGTAACTAGTGAAGATTGGATAGAATTTGAATAGCTCACAAAACACTGATTTTGCCCAAGTGTCTGTTTAGTATGTTTACAGAACAAATGTACAGGCAACAGATGATACTGTTCTTTGCTATCATTAAGAACCCAACATTTAAATAATTCTAAATTCCCTTGCTCTGGCAATCTCATTATAGCCCTTAAGGGACTTCCCTTTGTGAATTTGCAGAAACAGACAGACACAGAACCTGGCAGTGTAGACCGCAGCTACCCAAAGGGGCAGGAACTATGCGCTATATAAAGGAGTGTGAACGTGTGGCTATCAATGATGCTTTTTTTAAAGGTTGGAATCCTTTTTTTTAAATTGTGCCTTCTTTGTATTGGGTTTCCTTTCCTAGGCTATTTCCAGAGGCGGTCAAGAAAAAGACCTGTGCAAAGCTGCTATAGAAAGATCTCTTAGTGCCCTGACCAGTTTGGCTCAGTGGGTAGAGCATTGGCCTGCGAACTGAAGGATCCCAGGTTCGATTCCGGTCAAGGGCATGTATCTTGGTTGTGGACACATCCCCGGTATGGGGTGTGCAGGAGGCAGCTGATCAATGTTTCTCTCTTATCGACGTTTCTAACTCTCTATCCCTCTACCTTCCTCTCTGTAAAAAATCAGTAAAATATATTTTTAAAAAAAGATCTTTTAGCGCTGACAATGTTATTGGCATGCAACGCACAAAGCCATGCTCTCTAAAGAAAAGGAGGGGTTGTAACATCATGAGACCCTCATCTACAAAAACTACAGAAATACCACCTCTCCTTCTCAAAAGCAGTGGTAACAAGCAGTTAAAGAAACAAAGGGGGACCCTGGCTGGTTTGCCTCAGGATTAGAGCATCACCCCACTTACCTCAGGGATGTGGGTTCGATTCCCAGGCAAGGACATGTACCTGGGTAGCCAGTTTGATCCCTGGCCCCAGTTGGGACCTGTATAGGAGGCAACCAGTCGATGTCTCTCTCACATAGATGTTTCTCCCTCCTTCTCTCCATCCCTCCCTTCCACTCTTTCTAGAAATTAATGGGAAAAATATCCTAAAGTGAGGATTAGAAAAGAAAAAAGGAAAGAAAGAGAGAAACAAGAGGAGTGTCCCACATGTCTTAGTACAATTTTAAGATTTGATATTGTGGGTGAATCGAAGATGGTGGCATAGGTAAACACCGGAGACTGCTGCCGCAAACAACCACTTCAAAAATACAACTAAAAGACGGAACGGACATCAACCAGAACCACAGGAAGGCTGGCTGAGGAAAGACTCTTCAACTAGAAGGAAAAACAACAGCATTACGAGGCTCAGAGGAGGCGCAGTGTGGAAAATTTAAAGGTACGGTGGTGCGGTGGTGCGCGCGCAAAGCGGGCTGGTGGCTGAGGGCGCGGTTGTCGTTTTCAATCAGAAGGGAGTCTCAGACTCTGGGCTACAGATCCGGGCAAGTCTCTAGGGACCCAGACTCAAACGGGAGAAGCGGGACTGTCTGGCTACGGTCCCTCCGAGGTTTGCAGCGGTTGCTGGGACAGAGAGGCAGAGCCCCTGGGGACGGACTGAGAGCAGCCATAGTGGCTCCCTCCGCCCGCCCTGTTGAGCCCGCCCCGCCCAAGCCCTGCGCAGAGCCATTTGCCGGATAGCCTCAGGCAAAGGCTAGATTAGCACCTCCCCAGAGGACAGAAGTTTTCCACACAGCTGATTCTCATAGCCAGTCGGCCTGATGGTCAAATCCCTCTAGTATTAACTACAACAATCAAGGCTTAACTAGAACAAGACTGTGCACAAAGACCACAAGGGGGTGCACCAAGAAAGTATAAAAGATGCGGAGACAAAAAAACATGACAGAAATGGAGGATATGGAGCTAAAAATCGCAATTTTGAGGGCTTGCAATAAACTTGAGCAGAGCCTCATGAAAACTAATGAGACCCTCGATGCTATGATAAAGAAACTAGAAAGTAAGCATACATGGACTGAAATAAAGAATATTATACCCAATAGCAGACCAGAGGAGCACAAGAATCAAGCCAAAGATTTGAAATTCGAAGAAGCAAAAAACACCCAACTGGAAAAGCAAAATGAAAAAAGAATCCGAAAGTGTGAAGATAGTGTAAGGAGCCTCTGGGACAGCTTCAAGCGGACCAACATCAGAATAATAGGAGTGCCAGAAGATGAGAGACAGCAAGATATTGAAAACCTATTTCAAGAAATAATGGCAGAAAACTTCCCCCATCTGGTGAAAGAAATGGACTTACAGGTCCAAGAAGCGCAGAGAACCCCAAACAAAAGGAATCCAAAGAGGACCACACCAAGACACATCATAATTAAAATGCCAAGAGCAAAAGACAAAGAGAGAATCTTAAAAGCAGCAAGAGAAAGAGACTCAATTACCTACAAGGGAATACCCATACGACTGTCAGCTGATTTCTCAACAGAAACTTTGCAGGCCAGAAGGGAATGGAAAGAAATATTCAAAGTGATGAATACCAAAAACCTACAACCAAGATTACTTTATCCAGCAAAGCTATTATTCAGAATTGAAGGTCAGATAAAGAGCTTCACAGATAAGGAAAAGCTAAAGGAGTTCATCACCACTAAACCAGTATTATACGAAATGCTGAACGGTATCCTTTAAGAAGAGGAAGAAGAAAAAGGTAAAGATACAAATTGTGAACAACAAACATGCATCTATCAACAAGTGAATCTAAGAATCAAGTGAATAAATAATCTGATGTACAGAATGAACTGGTGATTATAATGAATCAGGGATATAGAAAGGGAATGGACTGACTATTCTTGGGGGGGAAAGGGGAATGGGAGATGCGGGAAGAGACTGGACAAAAATCGTGCACCTATGGATGAGGACAGTGGGTGGGGAGTGAGGGCGGAGGGTGGGGCGGGAACTGGAAGGAGGGGAGTTATGGGGGGGGGGGAAGAGGAACAAATGTAATCTGAACAATAAAGATTTAATTTAAAAAAAAAGATTTGATATTGTGTGCTTGGGCATTCAAGGAACCCCTGCAGAAGTATAAATGCTAAAATTTATAAAACACCACTTAAAATTTAATTAGAAAACTTTGTGGCAATGACCCAAGATGGCTGTTTAGGAAAACGTGGGTAATCACCACCTTCCACAACTATATCAAAATTAAAAACTGAAATAAAGAGCAGCTGTTATTCAGAGCTGCCTGAAATCTGGCTGAATAGAAGTCCTACATCTAGAGAAGTAAAATAGGAAGTACATTGACACTGGTAGGAAGGGCAAAGGCATGGAACTGGATGGTCTGGCACACATCAGAGGAGAAAAAGAAAAATAATCTAAAAATGTGGAGATGGTATAAGGAGCCTGTGGGCAACTTCAAGGATACCCATATTCACATCATGGGGCTGCCTGGAGGAGGAGAGGCAGAGCAAGTTATAGAAAATCTATTTGAAGAAATAATGATGGAAAACTTCCCTTGCCTGGTAAAAGAAGGCCATGAAGCGCAGGGAGTCCCAAACAAGAGGAACCCAAAGAGGCCCACAGCAAGACACATCATAATTAAAATGCCATGGGTTAAAGACAGAGAGAGAACCTAAAGAGCAGCAAGAGAAAAACAGTGACCTACACGGGAGCACCCATATAACTTTCAGCTGATTTCTCCACAGAAACTGCAGACCAGAGGGAATGGCAAGAAATACCCAAAGTTCTTTGAAGAGTAGCAAGGAACTACACCTGAGATTACGCTATCTAGCAAAGCTCTCATTTAGAATTAAAAGTCAGAGAAAGAGCTTCACAGACAAGAAAAAGCTTCACAACCAAGCCAATATTACATGAAATGTTGAAGGGTCTTCTTTAAGAACAAGAGAAGGAAAAGAGGAGGAGGAGGAGGAGAAGGGAGAAGAGATTTAAAAAATATGAACACTAAAACAGCAATAAATACATATGTATCCACAATTGAACCTAAAAATCAAAAGAACAAGGAATCTAATGAATAAATTAAACTGATGAATAAAATAAAACCAGAGGCATGGAACAACTGAAAAATCTCAGAGGCAAAGGAGTAGTGGAGGTGGGAAGAGATTAACCAAAGATCTTATATACTTATATGCATTACCTTTGAACACAAACAATAGGATAGTGAAGGCCTGGGGCAGGGTAGGAAGGGGAGGGCAGTGCTGGAGGGGGGAAGAGGGACATCTGTAATACTCTCAACAGTAAAGATTTTAAAAAATAAAATTTAATTACATTTCTCTTAAACTTAGTTTTGTAAGTTGTAAATAATAAGCTTTTAATTTTCTTGAAGGCCCCTCTTGAAGATGGCAAAGATTGGCTTAAACAAAGGAGTTTAATATTTAAATATTAAGCATTATATTTGTTTCAGCCGTTGGATGAAACAAAATAGCTTAATATTTCAATATGCCACATATCAAACCTTTTTGATTCAACCCTCTTTGGCTGAAACAAAAAAATTCTGTTTTTAATATTAAATATTTTGTTTCAACCACGATTGGCCAAAATGTATTAAAATTTTAATAGTGAGCTGTCTTGTTTCAGCCAATTATTTGCATCTTGAAGAGGGGTCTGAAACAAACAATTAAAATTAAAAGCTTAATATTTAAAATTTATCAAATTAAATAGGTTTAAAAGAAATTTAAACTTTCCAATGATGTTTTGTAAATCAGTAGCATGTATACATCTACAAGAGCCAAAGCTTAAATTGTACTAAGACTTTGTACCTTGCATTTTTACAGAAATGTCCCCCTCTTTTAAAAATAGTTCTCTGAGGTGGAGATCCAAGGTACTGGAGATCCACCAGTCGGTGGAAGTTACCCTCACCTCTTCCCAGGACCAAACTGGAATCTACACTAATAAAAGACAAAGATGCTAATTGACCATACCTTTGCTATACCCATCAGCCAATCAGAAGAGTATGCAAAGTAACCCAACAAAGATGGCTGTTAAATATGCATACTGCAGGCGGGGCGGGGCAGCGCCATCTGCCACATGCCCCGCCTCCATCCGGGCCTGCCGTGGCGACCCAGGGCGGCGGGGTGAGGCAGCGCCATCTGCCACCCGCCCCACCGTGGGATCGGGCCTGCAGTGGACAACTCGGAGTGCCAGTGCAGTGGGACGGGTCAGGGACATCTGCCGCCCACCCCACCGCGGGATTGGGCCTGCCCTGGGAGACCCGGGGCACCCAGCGTGGCAGGGTGGGGCAGCACCATCCGCCGCCCGCCCCACGGTGGGATCGGGCCTGCCGTGGGTAACACGGAGTGCCCGTGCAGTGGGACAGGTCAGGGACATCTGCCACCCACCCCACCGCGGGATTGGGCCTGCCCTGGGAGACCCGGGGAGGCGGGGCAGGCACCATGGGATAGGGTCTGCCATCTGCCACCCGGGGAGCGGTCCTAAGCCAGCAGGTGGTAATCTCCCGAGGGGTCCCAGACTGTGAGAGGGCACAGGTCTGGTAGGAAAGGCTGAAGGTAGGTGTAGACAATGCACGTTTGTGTATTTAATTTTACACTTGGAGGTTGTTGTTTTTTTTAAATAAATCTTTGTTGTTCAGATAAAAAAAAAGTTTAAAGCAGAGGAACACATTTGCTCTCTGTGGCTGTGGCCATCTTCTTCCCTAGTATTCTCTCATACTTGGACAGCCAGACAGTCCATTCTGAGTCCCCGTCCTCACCTTCACAGGTCACCGTGTGCCTGCGGAAGAAGGAGGAAGATTTTGAGATTCAGCAATGATGCCCGGTACCTGCCACACCCAGACCTGAGGAAGCTGCAATGACTAGATCTGCCTGAGGCCCCTGTTCCCATCCAGGGCCCAAAGGAGCTTGGCTGGACCAGAAGTCAACCACACTGATCTGTCACATTCTCTGGGCCCTTCTTAACATGGCCCCTGTCTGGTTCACAGGAAACTAAGATAAAATTCTTCCCCTTCATTAAGTCCTGAAGGAAACTGCTAGTTCCGGCTTGTCTTGTGGTTTCATATCCCTTTATCTCTCAGGAACTCCACAGTTGGCTAAACTGGAGCAGAAATTGCCTCAGTATAACACTGCATGCTCTTCAGCTCGAGGTTTCCCTTCTTATGAAACTTTGCAGCACACCTCCCCTGACCTGTGTCAGCACCCACACTTACCTCTGTGCCTCCATTTCCCCACCCCCAAAGCCCAGGCATCTCAAGTGCCCTTTGCTCCACTTCATTCTCTGAAGTTCAGACTCATCAGGACTTCCAGATCAACCTGCCTCTCTGGAACCCCTTTCCCCATGGTTCTCCAAGATGGAAAATAAGCCAGGATGGAAGGAATGGCTTAGACATGACTCTGCATTCAGCCCTGGGAATTGGAACGTGAGATGACTAGATTTCTAGGAAGACTGAATTTAGAGTAACACTCTAGTAGTAGAAAGATGGTGTCTACTTTGGATGTACAGGTGAATAAAACGGGGGGAATATGAGATAATGAGTCTTTTTTTCATATTTCTCTGCAAAAAATTCAACAAGACAGATATAACAGGAGCCCCCCCCCCCAATAAGCAGCTCAAAGCATTGCAGGTACGGGGCCAGCTGTGTCATCCTGTTCTGCATTTGTAGAAACAGATTGTGTGATCTCTACACCTTTTGCAGATGACCGGATCTGAAGATACCAAAGGGCTAAAAATTAATGTCCAACTAATGCCAACCATTCCATTTATGAATGTATGTATGTATGTATGTATGTATGTATGTTTTGGTGTGAACTTCTGCTCCTCAGTCTTAGAGCAGTCATCCTCTGAGAATGTACTTCAATAGATTATAATAATGATAATAAGAGCTACCATTATTGACAACTTCATATCTGCTAAGCAACATGATTGACAAGTTCAGAATGCATTGTCTCAGTTATACTACCATCCTTGGGGCTTTAATTCCATGTTGTTCCCATAAATATATGGAGGCTAAGAAATATTAAATAGTAAGGAAGGAAAAATAATTGCTAAGAAACTAAACATCTACCCTAGCTACCCATCAAAGAAAGAGATAAAGACATTTTCTAACATATAGACAGTCTCAAAGTTGACCTCCCTTAGGCCTTTATTGAGAAAACCAATAAAGAATGTGCATCAAGAATAAGAAATGTGAACCCAGAAAATCATAACATTGGTCATGAGAAGGATAAAACAAAGTATATGAAAATTAGTATTCATTTGAAAAAAAGATATTAAATACACATTCTACCAAAATTCAAGCACCAAGGGGACAGTAGTTTGAAAAGAGCATCAGAGACAAACAGGGAGGAACTGAATTGTCTAGCTTCAGAGTGAGAGCTGGACGGATGGCTCTGTCTGGGACAGAAGTGCTGGTGGAGGCCATGGTTTCTTTGTTGAGCTCTCTCCCCACCCTGCCTGCAGGCACAGGCAGTGCCAAGTCTGAGTCTCCATCAACCTGGTAACACCACTTGCCTCACCTGGTGATTCCATGAGACTGGGCTCCATGCAACTCACACAGGCCAGAACCTCCTTCGCCAGCTCTTCCTCACACACAGCTGGCCTCTGCCTGTGCTGTGGGCTTTCCTAAGACCTCTGAAAGGTCATAAAGCCCAAACAAGCAGCTGCTGGACTCAGAGTGCACTGTATGTCCTGCTAAGTGGTCCCAAGCTTGGGGCACAAGTGGCAGCTGGCATCGATTTGCAGCAGAGCCTCGCCCAAGCAAATCTGAGCGCAGCACAGGCAGCTACCAACTGTAGATTGCTTTTTAGCTCCCACCATGTACCCCAGGCCCAGTACAGGAATCCGCTGACCTTGGCTTTCACCAGAGGCCTTCCCAAGAAGCCCAAATAGCAACACACCTGGTGGCCAGCTTAGAGCACTCCAGAGACCAGCCATTTAGCACCCCAGTGACACATACAAGAGTGGACTAGGCTGGCACCAGAGCCCCACTAAGGTGAATCCCACTCCTTGGTGTTAGCCCTCCCACAACAGCTCATCCACTGTAGTCACAGCCAGTCCTCACAACCAGTCAGCCTGAGGGTCAGTCCCATCTCCTGACCTGCCAACAACAATGATGGCTCAATTTCACACAGCACACACAAAATCCTGCAGGACAACATGGCCATTGGGCCCCAGAATTGCCAATTCCCAACCTGTCCAGCAGGCAGGAGGTGCAGCATGAGACCCAGGAATCAGGAGAACCCCTTTGGGAAAGGGCCATGTTAGGAAGAACAAGAAGAGCTGGGCCTGCAGTGCTGTAGGAAGCATGGTGGTGGGCAGCAAATAAGGGAGTCCCTCACACCAGGGCGCCCAAGGAATTGAGGAGTAAAAACACATTGAGCCCTGTAGGGAGCGTCTATAGGGTTAAGCCTCAGATTGACCTGTGGCAGAGCCACACACAAGTCCCAGCTTAGAGGGCAGAGCCCTGTTAGCATAATTAAGCTTGACCTTATGACGCTCCCTAGATCGTTCCTAGGTAGCTAAGGGGCTGTGGGAGATGCAGCAAGTGCTGACAAAACAAGTAAAACTCACAAGAACATTGTAACTATGTTGACCACAACCTTGTTTGTCTCTGACTATAAAATAAAGGCTAAGCTTACAGGCAGCGTCTTTCTGTGTCCTCATCAAGGCATGGAAGATCCACCGAGCCCCAGCTGTATTCTTTGTCTGTCTTTTCTAAATCCTTCACTGCCCCTCCTCAGGTTTACCCTTGGCCGTGCTGGCCCTGCACAGAGCCCCAGTGTGTACTGTCCAGTCTATGCATTTCAAGATGAGAGGGCCCATTGCTTGGCCAGGCCCCAACCCCATGCCAGCTTGTGGAAGCTAGGTCTCTGGAGAGGCGGTCTGCACTGGGAGCTCTGTGTGCCCAGAGGTGCAGAGGCACAGCTGGCCCAGTTCCCCTGCCCAGGCCCTCGGGCCCTGTGGAGCCCCACTGCAGACCAAAAGCTGGAACGTGGGAAAGGCCAGCAGCTATAGGACACAAGTGCTGACCTGGCCAGGGTCTCCATCTATCCCTCTATGTGCCTCTCTGTGCTCCCTAAGCTTGGCCCTGCGCTGTGAGGCATTCACTCAGTGTCTGGCTCCAGCACATTCCAGGCCAAGTTAGCTCAGCCTCTGATGCCTGCTCGGGAAAGCGCTGCATAGCTAAGAAACTAAAAATCCTGCCCCTTAGTATACTCCTGGACTCTCCTCCAAGACCTGGAAATGACCCTGGAGGGGTCCAGACCACCATTTCTTGATCCACTCCCAACAAAGGTGCTTCTGAGTCAGGCCAAGGTGGGGGTCTCCCTCTCTGGGCTCATCCTTGTGTCCTATATTACATGGAAAATCCTCTCTTATTTGAGCAACAGAAGTCAGTTGACTAGGAAGATGATTTGGTTCTCACCCTGCAGGAAACTGAATGAGTGCTGAAGGCCTGGGGTGAATAGTTAGCTCAGTTGTTTGGTCTAGAATGGGGCTGAGGTGGGGTATAAACAACCTACAGGGCCCTTTCTTCCACAGTGAGGCCTCCACGTTGGCCCCAGCACCTCACCTCAGCTACAGACTGGGGCCACAGGGGCCTCCCTGGATTCTGGAGTTCATATTTCAGGCCGTCTTTTTTATTTTTAATTTCTTTATTGATTAAAGTGTTACATATGTGTCCTTATCCCCCCATTACCCTCCTGACCCCCCTGCTCATGCCCTCACCCCCTGTTGTCAGTGCCCATTGGTTAGGCTTATAAGCATGCATACAAGTCCTTTGGTTGATCTCTCCCACTTACCCCTCCACTCCCCTACCTTCCCTCTGAGGTTCAACGGTTTGATCGATGCTTCTCTGTCTCTGGATCTGTTTTTCTTCATCATTTTATGTTGTTCATTATATTCCATAAATGAGTGAGATCATGTGATATTTATCTTTCTCTGACTGACTTATTTCACTTAGCATAATGCTCTCCAGTTCCAACCATGCTGTTGCAAATGGTAAGAATTTCTTCTTTTTTACTGCAGAGTAGTATTCCATTGTGTAGATGTACCACTGTTTTTTAATCCACTCATCTGCTGATAGGTTCTTAGGCTGTTTCCAAATCTTAGCTATTGATAATTGTGCTGCTATGAACATAGGGGTGCATACATTATTTCTGATTGGTGTTTCTGTTTTCTTGGGATATATTCCTAGAAGTGGGATCACTGGGTCAAATGGGAGTTCCATTTTTAGTTTTTTGAGGAAACTCCATACTGTTTTCCATAGTGGCTGCACCAGTCTGCATTTCCACCAGCAGTGCACGAGGGTTCCTTTTTCTCCCCATCCTCACCAGCATTTGTCATTTGTTGATTTGTTTATGATAGCCATTCTGACAGGTGTGAGGGGGTACCACATTGTTGTTTTGATTTGCATCACTCAGATAATTAGTGACTTTGAGCATGTTTTCATATGTCTCTTGGTTCAGGCCGTCTTCTGCTCTCTTTTTACCCCAGGCCCAGGGAAACCCACTGTGACCCAGCCTAGACATGACTGAACCAGGGCCAGCTGGACTGTAAATGCAGGGAACTTAGCCCAGGAGTCCTTCAAGTCCAAGTCAAAATCAGAAAATGCACCAGGAATTATTCAGAGTATGATCTGAAGGTCACAGAGAGAAGGGACAGGCTGAGTGTCCCTGCCCAGGCCCCTCCTCACTGTGGCTTGGACTGAGCTCCTCCTAACCACTACTCCCCATGCATCCACGGGAACCCAGGGGCAGATGGCAAAGTAGCTAGTTCTGCTGCTCAAGTTTCTTTAGAGAAGACATAGCGAAGGCTGG